GGACACCCTACCACCCCCTTCAGTTCACTGCCCGAGGGCTCTTCAACCCAGGGAAGCCCTCTCATCAGGAGAAATGCCCAAGGGAAGTCCAGTCTCCACGATCACAGAGGAAAGCTGCACCTTCAGTAAGAGTCTCCTGTTCAGACCCTACGGCCTGCTCGGCAGACATCATCCGGGTTTAAAGAAAGGCCGAGAGCCGCGGGCACTGGTCCCGACTCCCGGTTTGGTAATAACCGCAGGAGCGAGGCATTTACTCGTCCTCACATTTCCTCGCTTCTCACTTCCCTGTTTAGAAAACTGATGCTTGATTCTCCATGAACGTTTACAACTCCTGCTGTGGGCGGGCTGCCCACACTCCCGGGGGTGGGGGGACGAGGGGCTCTGCAGGCCCCGCCCTGAGCACACCCCGGGGGCACGACCTACCTGCTCTCATGGAGCCTTTGCGGGCCAGTCGCAGGAGGCCTTTCTTCTTCAGAATGAAGCTCCCTCCGATGAAGATGCTGGAGCTCATGGCCAGGCCCAGGCCGATGCAGAAGTCATACTTCCCACGCCCCGGGCTCATGGCTTGTGAGTGAAGGGGCTCCCGGGGGTCACATGGATCACGGGACCAGAGGCGGGTGCTGGAGGCCGGGAGGCGTTTCCAATCTGCACGAGGCAAAACGAGATCCTCAGAACGATCGGCACAGCGCATGCGCCACCAGGCGGAGCCCCACTTCCCGTCTCCGGAGGAGCGCCCTGTTCTTTCCACCAGCGGAGAGCCACGCGCTACGTGCTTAGAAGGCGGCACCGTCATACAGAGCCACTCAGGCCCGAGGCACGAAATCCGTGCGGGAGTTCCTCCCCCGCGGCCGAACTCGTGGGACCAGAGAACCGAGTGGTGGGTGCAGTAGTGGGGCCAGGGCTGGGGGGTGGGTGACGGCGCCAAAGCGGACCCTCGGGGGAGGGTTAACAGACAGACAGACCAGAAGGCCGCCGTGGCTGACACTGAGGAGCAAGGGTGGGCAGGGAACCTTTCCGCAACACAAACACCCTGAACACGCGTCATTCTTTCCCACCACGGCTGCTGCCCGACAGGAAGAGCCACTGGACACCTGGGGGGGGGGCTGTTCCCGGTGACGACGGATCCACGTTATTTCCCACCCATTCGATCGTGAGAAGACAGTATCATGACCCCTCATCTCACAGCCAGAGAAGCCAGACCTCCCCGAGGTGGAGGCGCAGGCAGGGGGCCCAGGATAGCCACCCAGCACCGCCCCCTCGGGCCCCACGTGCCAACAGGACTCCCGGTCCTCGCTGCCCGCACCAGGGTCACACTGCACAGTTCTCCGTCTGCACGTCAGCTCGGCGTCCGCAGGTCTGAGTTTTCCCACCTCTGACCTGGCTAATTGTGTGTGAAAGGAGGACTCGTCAACACGGCAGCGCCTCCCCGAGATCTCCAACCCCAATGGCCCACGGTTAGCGATACAGGAAGAACGCACAGAACCGGGACAAGAAGCCTGGGCAGTTCCGAAGGGCGTTAAAAATCGGACTCCTTGCCTCCATGAAACAAACCTTTCGTCTCTCATTTTCTGCTTATTCCTTAAAAAAAGGAAAAAAGGAGGACCTGGGCATATGGTATATAGAGCATCTCGAGACACAGAACTCCGAGCAGCTCTGTATTATACGAACTGAGAACGCGAGGGAAGAGCTGACGCGGACAAATGAAACTCCGCGTCTCTCGAGTTGCGTGCGGAGCGGGGACGGGGATCTGGCGGCTTTAGAACCAACTTCGGCCATTGAAACTGCCTCGTCGCCAACGCGCCAGCCCACGTCTCCGGCGGCGTCTCCGCAGCAGCGAGAACCACCGTCCCCGACTCCCCGCCCCGGGCGGCCGCTTACG